TCAGCGTCATCATCGCAGGCCCACGTGTAGCGACTGTAAATATTTTTCATTTCAGGACGTGCGATTCACGTTCGAATCTCTTGGACTGGTGAACGTGAACGGGTACAAACTGCGCAATCTTTGGACCGGTGAAAATTTTGGCGTGGTATTCCCGCTTCACGAATATCGAGTTACATTAGAGCCTACATCTGCCTCGATGATAAAGCTTACTATTCTATAGTCTGGGTCAAAACCGGGTCATCTTCTGGATCGTAAATAATAACTTAATTTTAAGTCAATTTACTTCACCAGTTATATCGTTTTCTGTTCTAGTAGGTACAGAGAAAGGGTGCTCTTAAGGCATAGACGCAGAGCACTTGCTTCTTCTCTTCACTTGATTCAGGTGCATTCGCTTTGGGATATTTTCGTTAGTAGGTGGGATGCCATGCTTTATGCGATTGAGGCTCTTTTCTGCATGCGTCCACGAGATAGCGGGCTTTTCCCCAGGCTCAGCCTCGGAAGAGTGCAGACGACCAGAGTCACCACGGCCTGCTTTCGCTGCGTAGCACACCTAATTCTCCACTATGTTGGCGCCGATTCCTTCTCTTTGACCAATCTGTTCTTTCTGTCCGTTCTTAGTGTCTTTCAATAACTGTGATAAGAACTGGAATGCTTTTTCACTTTCAATGTTAAGCTCAATTTCCGTGGACATTCCGTTTCTGTTCTTCCTGTTCTTTGTACTGTTTTGCATCTATATGTATCTATTTGTTGAAATAAATTATAAGCTCTGATGGCACACGACACACCGGCGGTTCGGCCAGGAGGTTCTCGTTGCGGCGACGCGGCAAAAGCGATGCGGCGTGACGTGCGCGGCATTCGCACCAATACATAGTCGGTTTCACGTTAGAGGTAAGTAGCTCCGGAAACACTAACGGTTACGTGGCCTTTTTCCTGTCGCGAAACCGTCTAGCGCAGACGGAAAGAGGCCAACAGCTTCGTGCATCGAGCGTTGCAAATAATAACTACAAGTATGGTCATTTCGCTGCTGACGGACGCTGGGCGCGTTTCAGGAGGTTGGCACGGGTTAGCCATTATTGGTACGACCACCCGCAATTAAGAGGTAGCTGGCACCTGGCAGCAGACAGCTTTAATGAGGTGCGAAGACTTGGTGTCTATCTGCGAAGCGACCTCATTAAGGAGAGAGGACTCAGAGGTCATCCTGTCATCCACATTTCTTCACAACGAAAGCAGAAAGATAATAATTTTAGAAATAATATTAATGAAATATTTATTGAAATAGCCTTCCATAGAAAAATATACTTGAACTAGAGGTCTTTGAAGTTCATGGAGGTAATAGTCGGTCATCTTCAAAGAGGTGTGAGAAGGTCACCCCTCTACGAATTCGCCGTAATGAGGGCAGCAGCATATTAGCAATTTGCAGAAGTGAAGAGTTTGTTGAAAACAAATAAGTGTATTTGTTTCGGTGGGCTGAACCCTTTTAGTGTAATGTTCATTTTCCGACTTTCAGACGCTATTTAGTGGTATTTGAAAATGAAAATCCTGAATACCAGAGGTCCCATACTTTCCTGGTTACTCACTGTAACTAATGCATTTGAAGTGTACAATACCAATATTTTCTTCCACAACATTTTTTTCCAAGAGAATCTGCATTTTACTGGTTGCTTTCCTCGATTTATTGATCTTTCTGCTTTCGTTGTGAAGGAATGTGGGTGACAGGATGACCTCTAAGCCTCCTCTCGTTAATGAGGTCATCTCGCAGATAGACACCAAGTCTTCGCACCTCATTAAGGCTGTCTGCTGCCGGGTGCCAGCTACCTCTAAATTAGGCTGGTCGTACCAATAATCCGTCACCCGTGGCACTGCGGCATGGTCATTTCGCTGCTGACAGACACTGGACGTGTCAGGAGGTTTGGCACTGCCGTAGTGTCAGGTCTCGAAGGGGGGGGTGTAGGACTTTCTTAAAAGATCTCACTTCACACCTATCATGCCTCTCGGGGAGACTCGCCTGCGGTGTTGCCTGACTTAATTGCTCTCTCACTAGCTCCTGACCTTTCCTCTACTTGACGATTACATCATGATGAGTGAGCCGAAGTTCATCCCATCGAAATGCGTGGCGTCGAGGTGTGTGCTTCCAGCTAAATGTGTTAGGTGTAGCGCTACCCAGGCGCCAAATTACGTCGGCGCCGAAATAAGTGTGAAAATCATGATCGGGGCCATCGATTACCCCTGTAAACAATCTTTCGGCCAAAAAATTTTTTTTCGACTTTTTTGGGTGTGTGCGTTGGGTTGTGCCCGACAGTCTTTCTATAGAAGTCTACAGTGCCTCGCCATAGGGACCCCCTATTTTATTAATATCCAAAGATAAAAGTAACAATGCCGATGAAATTCATGCAAAGAGGAAGGAAAGGGAGGCATTCCACCAGGTTTGCTGTCCTGCCCGGCCTGCTACGTCGTCGTTTCGTCATCGTCTTTACGAAGATGGGATACTCCGGTCACCACTGCCGACCAAATGGTCCACCAAAACCCAAAAAATCGAAAAAATTTTTTGGCTGGAAGTTCGTCCATAAGGGTAATCGATGGTCCTGATTACGATTTTGACACTTATTTTCGAGGTCGACGCAATTTGGCGCCAGTATAGCGCTTAACGTCCCTCGTATGGGGGTACATAGACGTAACTTTCACTCCTTTTTTGGCATTCCAGGAGCCGCACAGCAAAAACGAAGCCCACTTTTACGGTTCATGGGCAAGGTCCTACAAAGTGCAATAAACCGTTTTGAAAAGCGGGGCACGCCCTGAACGACCTTCCTGGTAAGTGGTTAAATGTGTTCTTGACAATTGAATTTATGAAAACATTTTTTCTGTTTTTCCAACGTTTAATTTTTTTCCTTCTTCTTTCCATGTTCAGTTTGGCTCAGTCGTGTCTGTAGAGGAGAGGTCAGGAGTTAGTGAGAGAGCAATTAAGTCAGGCAACACCGCAGGCGAGTCTCCCCGAGAGGCATGATAGGTGTGAAGTGAGATCTTTTAAGAACACCACACACCCCGGCAAGTGATAACTATTGGTGGAAAGTGGTTTGGCGCCACGCCAAACCCAGTCCCAGCTTGAAAACACCAGCGTCTGCAGCGAAAAAGACTATATGTCAAACCGGACGTCCTCGAAACGAGGCTACTCCTGGAAGGTGAGGAGCTCTTGACAGACTACTTGTAAATCTGGGATGTGTAAGGTCACAGTAGTCATTAAAAGCCGTGTAGACAAAGGAGCGGAAATAATAGCAGAAAACTGACGCGATTCAATAGAATTGCTTTGGTTTTCGAATCAATACTGACTTGCAGCAACTCGGCACAACTTGGATCTCCTGACGCGCACCCATTGCTGGAGAAATATTGATTTTACGCGCATACGATCGATTTCCATATCTCGTGTAAGTGCTTGACGTCTGGAATGGGAAATTAATAGTTACGCGATTATAGGAACTATTCTAGTATGTTGGACGTTCTGAGGGCTCTTTAGAATTACAATTATGAGGATGAAGATTTTACCTAAGCTTAGGAGGAGGAGGGAACTCTGGCGTGCGGTCAATTTGTTGTGCAGAAAGCGGTTTTTGCATTACAGTAATCGGAATTTCGCACAAAGATGCCTTTCAGTGCCCCTCCCTGCTAGAATAGCGCCCACCTTCGTTTGAGTGAGGGGTTCAAGAAATAGCAATACAATCAACAAACAATCACGCCTTATTCCTTGCACTTCTCGCAAGGTTGAAGGTTTCGCGCTCCTTCAAGCAACGAGATATCATTGTCGATTACCCCATAAGTTCAGAAGCTATCACCTTCGAATGCCCGCGACTCTGGCAACAAGCGCCTGCCGCCGGCAATCGAGCGCACTGCCTTTAAGAGGAATTTTTCCAAGCCGCGACGGGAATTTGACAATTGCTGACTTTTGCAGTTTCACGCTCCCCCCCACCTCGACGTCACCTTTTTGGAAAAAAAATCAGGAATCATGTAGGGAGTTGGGAGAATTTGGTAAGGTGGTAGGCATTATGGGGAAGGGGGAAGTACCACCCGGTCACGCCGCTGTAGCATGTCGGAGCCTGAAATTTCACAGCTGGGACCTCGCTCAGTATTGACCGGAAAGGAGGTGAAGATGTAAGAGCCGCTGGGAGCACTCAACATCTTCTGGCCCACATGCCATTCTTATTGAACGGGTTGGCGCTAAGCGGGCTGGCGCTAGTCGATGGGCAGGATTTGGCACTTTGGTGTCGTCCAATATCAGAAACAAGTCAGAGAGATAGCAAGGCTCGCAACAGTTCGTAGCTTTAAACAACTCTCCGTGCAAAATTGGGATTACCGCGATCCGACGAAATATTGCACCAAAACTCGTATCAATATTAAAATGGCGCCAAAGTTTACATATGGGCACCTACCATTAAAAGGCCATGCAGAACTGTTCAGCTTGGCAAATCAACCACCATTCCATACGAAATAAGGCCCTACCTCCTCAATACAGACCCCCTAAACCCTTCACATTGGACTTTGGAGCTACTTAGCGTTCCCTAGACTAGTTGGGCCTGAGTGTATGACGAATGGCTGTTGCAGGGGTGCAAATCCAGTCTTAGCGCCACCCCATTGTGAGCGCTGGCTATAGCGCAGGTCGATAATGTGTTTGGCCTGACGCCGGTCGGCCCGCGCTACGTAGACGATCGATAGCGTCTGAGCGCCGGGCCACTTTTAGCGCGGTGCCTAGTAACCGGTCCTACGCGCCAGCTTTCACTCTGTCACCGATGTTGATCGCAGATCGCTTGGTCTTCTTAATAAGTTTCTTCCTTCTCTTCATACTTAACCCTACAACAGAAATCCTCATCATATTTAACCCTAGTATCTCTTAATGTGAGAATTCTCCAGGAGTCTCAGGCTATTTACTGTTTCAGGCCTGACGAAGGTGCTGGTCACCGAGGTACTCGAGCAAGGCTGAAGGACTATTGGGATTTCTTTATTTCCGAAAAACCGCGTCCGTGGTTCCCAGGTGACAACTCCACGGTCCCTTCCACTAACGCTATGGACCCGTCCATCAAGCGCAAAAAGGGTGTAAATTGGACCCTACAGGAAAACGAGTTGGTTATCGAATTGTTCCTAGACAACTACGACACCTACTACTTCAAATTTTCCGACGGTGAGAAGCTCTTACTTCAATTTTTTTTCTTTTTTTTCGCCTTTTCTGATGGGTGTGGACTTTAGAAAGTTGTCCTGGCAAGGGGACTGGGGCAGTGGTTGCGCCGGGTTTGGTGAACAGGGCAGTCGTACGTTGGGATCCTCAGCGAGGAGAACCGTTTCGTCACTGGGGGGGGGTATGTCGTACATGACTTGGAGAACAGTGTTGTTGCAGAATATCTAGTTGTTGACTTCTCTGGGTCTTTCTCCCCCCCCCTCAGCTTGACAGCAGTTTTTTTTGGAAAGAAAACTCCAGAATAGTGTTAGGATATCGGGGGAATTCAGGGAGATGGTAGGTAGAATGGAGAATGGGGAGAGGGTCACACCAGAGGAGGAAATTTTAAGGGGGAGGGGTCGTATTTAGCAAAATTTTCCCTTCAAAGGCGCGGCATGCCTTGCTTCTGACTCGACCTGCAGTTTATTTACTCCTTCACTACTTCACTACTTCAGATGGGGTTAAGTTAGCTAAGGGGCGTTTAAAGGACCCTACGTGAAAACTGGGGACCGAAACTCCTGTTTGCACAAGGAAATTGATCTACACCCCTCCTCGGCTTCTCAGCTTTTTCGCATGGTCTTCTTGCGAGATGTTGTAACGCAAAGAGCTAGAGGACAGCGGCTGTCGAAGCATCGAAAGGTGTAAAAAACGTGCCGAGCCAAGGGATGGGCTTATTCCTAGGGGAGGGGGCTCCCAGATGGGTGAGTCACTTATCACGGTGAAAACCTGTGATGTGTGAGGTCACGAGGGAGGGTCATAGAACGCCATGTGGGGGGAGAGTGCAGAGAAAAACAGAAAACTGCCTTCATGAAGGTATCAGTCCAAGTAGCCCGCAGTCTTCTATCCGTCTGCGCTCTCTACTTTTGGCAGGTCTCGGATTGCAAGGCATCTGTCAGTCGGATGTTTTCTCGCTGTAGGAGCCCAGAGGTATTTTCTCATCACATCTTTTGGGCTGAGCATTTTGAGGGATGAGAATAAGGAAGAGGGAGGAGAGAGGAGGAAGGAAGGAAAAGAAGGAAGGAGGAAGAAAAAGAGAAGGGAAAGGCAGGCTGGCCGGTTGACAGATATCCTGGGTCTTCAGGACCTTGGCGGAAAGTTCAACTCACCTACACCTTATCAGATGAGAATTAACGCTGTAATGCCATCATTTCTGTTATTTATGTTATACTATTTATACTATGTGAGTGGTTTTTATCCTTTACTATTACTCTGAGGGTTTCAGGGTCTAAAAAGGGTATAAAAGCGGTACGGGATTCTTTACACGAACGATGGGCTGAACAGTTGACTCGACTGGGATTCTCCGAGCGATCACCGGCCCAGGTTGCTGAGAAGATCAAGAAGAGCATCATCATAACTCGGAAGTATATCAACAACTATGTATGTTAGAACTTTTCTTTCATTCTTTTGCTACCAGTTGTTGGCCCTATTCCAGTAAGAGGGGGCCGTTTCAGTGCAAAGCACCCGAGTCATCGAAACCTACGGCTAATTTTTTTCATTATAAAGGAATGGTACAGGGGATACGGTGCGAAGAAGAGAGTATGACTCAGTGGGCGAGTATTTCTGCCTAAGCCTGAGGAAAAGAGTGAACCGGGCTGAATGATACTTCTGCCCCCTCTTACGGAGGTGATCACCGGTTGTTTTGGGAGTTCGAATGCGCTGAGGTTCGTAATGGGTGAGTCCCTGAAGTCGCAACGGATCATTGAACCACTTATACCCACCTCAGATATCGTTCACACTTTCCGCCTCGGGAGAATCGCCGTTTTGACTGAAAGGGGTAGTATAGGAATCGATCGGCGCTGGTCGCGAGCGTTCTGGAAGGATCGGCGTTTCAGGAGAACTGGCGATACCTATGCTATCCTTTTCGTGCATTCTCCCAAGACGCTGATTCTCTCAGAACGTCGATCCTACTAAAACGCCGATTCGTTCGAGCTGCAAAGTGTAAACGTTGCTTTACTGCTATAGTACTCAGTTATTTTGGAAGTAGGAATATGCTGAGGCCAGTACTGCAGTCTCCTGAATTTACTATATTAGCAAAATTCGCTTTCAAATACGTTGAAATGAAAGTATGCTTTGAAGCATGACGCATTCAAAAGCGTTTGACAAATAAACCCTTATTTTCAACATTCAGCCTAACCCGCTAAGCAGGAAATTGAGTTTTAATGGAAATATGGCAGGGTTCAGACTTCGCGGTGGCGCACAACGACGCGCTGTAGTGCGTCCGCCCTAGCGAATTTTCCCCTGGTCGTTCTTTAACCATCGCATGACTGATGCATTTTCGTTCATTTCAGAGTGAGAATGCACCACGTACCGGGCGAGGAGACGACTTGCCTCCATTTCTTAGGCCACTGGAAAAGAAGCTGCGTGAGGAACATGCCAAGGAGGTGAATGGGTGTAGCTTCTCAGCTGGTGAGCGTCAATTCAGAGACTTTTTCTTGTCCTTTTTCGTGCAGTTTGATTTGCGCATTGCAGAAGATGGTGTAATTCCATTCTATGATCTATTAAAAGATGTGAAGGAAGAATCTATGAGCTCGACAGGAGGCAAAGACACGAGCGATTGTCATTCTTTGGATGCGGATCTTGACATTGAACGTGGTACTAGTAGCCTCTATGAGGTCAGTTTGACTCATGCGCTTTTGATTCATTCAAGGTGTGACATATTCAGAAGCTAGTTATGCAATAGTCATTTCGGCACTAACGTTTGGGGGGGGGGGGGGCAGGGTGCCATTTCCACAGAGTCTGCTCCCCAAGCCAAAGTTCAGTTTGGTGCACGGTCGGCGTCAGATCTCGAAAAGGCTGTCAAGCTCAGTAAGAGTAATCTTGGCTAGAAGAAGAGACCCAACGGGCTCTGTGGAGTAGTCCTCACCCCCCCCCCCTCTCGACCAAGTGATTGAAGAGCGTTATCTGCGATGATGATACCATCTATGTTTATTCCATGTGGGCATTTTCCGTGTGGTTGGGCTGGTTGGGCCCAGGGTGTTCCTATATGTGTTGCAATCATCGTTCATTTAGAGTCTGCTGTACTTGATTCCTTTACCTTTTTAGAGCCCGATGACTCGTCTATCGCAAATGGCTAATATACCGCAGACGTTTGATCCACCAATAGCACCAGTTACACCGTTCAAGATCTCTACACTACCGTCTTTGATTTGCAAGAGTAAGAAGTAAGTCGTTAATTGTTATAGTTAAAAATTCCTTTATATGGTAAACTTCTTTCGAGACTTTATATACTCTTGTTTCGAATGCCATAACTGATTTGTCTTGGTAGTGGCAAAAGCGATGCGCCTCAGCTTGGGGTCTCTTTTTGGCCAAGGTGACGTGGCTGCCCAAGCTTTTGCTTATGGTCGCAACTGCGTTTGTTTGTTTTCTGACCAAGAAATCCATGACTAGAAAGATGAGGTCAAGGTACGAGTCCTACCTTGGCAAGGATAGCTTTTGGGTCGCAAAGCAAAGCGAAAAGTAGCAGTTATCTAGGCGCAGCGTCTGGGTATGGGCATCCTCCAGTGAGCAGCAGGACTGCCTTACGTCATGTCTGCTCTTCGGCGCCCTCTCACCAAGACAGCAGAGCATGTTTTGGTGAGAGGGTGCCAAAGTCGTCCAAAGACAAGTGGCGAGATTTATCCATGTCATGTTCTGAGAATATAACTTAGTCATTCTCAGAACATGATATGGATAAATCTCGCCACTTCTCTTTCATAGTAGCAATTCATTGTTTGTGGCTTCGCTCGCTGCACCCTCTCAACGAGGCAGCATGACTTGGTTGGGTCTGATCATGAAGAGGATGAGCCGTCTGGTAAGCAGCCCCACCCAAGGCAGCACATATCCTATCTCGAAATATACATGGTATGCCGAAATATACTAGTTCGTTGCCCTTGTTGCGCTTTTCTCGGCTAACTTTCGGTAGTTGCTACAATTTCCATATACCGTTTTTTTCAGGCGTTGGTCTGACGAAGAGATGGACGACATGACTTTGAAACGTCAACGCCTCCTGGATGCAGAACTTGAGCTTGTTGAACGAAAACGGTACCTCGTCGAAATGAAAATCAAGTACTGGGAAGAAAAGACGAAACGTCTCTCCACCTCAACATCGTAGTCCCCAAAAAGGGCTAAGGGAAAGTCAGGAGAGGTCTGCCTTTGTGGGTCCAGTTTTCTTTTCGAGAAGTTGAAAGAGCATTGAGTTGAAGCTCTCATTAAGTCGGAGAACCTCAGAAGTGATCTGCTCTTTGATCTGAGTTGGTGTGTTTCATCAATAGGCGGTAATATTGGAAGATGCAGACCTAATGACGTAATCACGCGCTAACGTAGTTGGTGGGGACCACGAGGGCTTACTAGACCGCGTCAAATCTGGTTGCTCCGATGGTTCTACTCTCGAACCGTTGCCCCCACCAACTGCACTCCATATCCCGCTAGTGGAGAGGGCGTGGCTGCGTACTTCAGTCAAACATGGCGTGATGATTTTTTTGAGCCCACCCTATAGTGTGGACAAAGACACGATTACAGTTGAGTTAAAACGAAAATACTCCACCAGAAGGACAGTCGATTCCACCAGAAGGACAGCCGTCACTACATCCAAACAGCTTTCGCGGCCACGCCCTCCCCATTTCTGGGATGTCTAGTGAACGTTAGCGCCGTCATCGATAAGTGTCTGATCACTTTTGGGATTCGCGTTTCCGCCAAGACATTTCCGATCAATGCCTATCCAACTGCTATCAAAAATCGTCGATTTGTCTTTTTTCTGTCTCTCTCTCCTTTTTGAAACGGTGCACAGTGTGATGTAAGAGAATTGTTTTTTTTGGATTTTCAAGTGATTTCCATCATTCTTGTTCTGTACGAACATCCGATTCCTATTCTGGCGGTATTTCAATAAGGTGAGGCATTTTGGTGCAGAACACCCGAAACCCATTCAAAAGCCCCACCAAAACCAAGCAAAATCAAATGAGTTGCTCCACATCTTGGAGCTTTTCCTCGCTTCTGCTTGGGCGTGAGTCCTCCTCGCGCAATTTACGGTTGCTCCTTGCACGTTCCAGCACAAGATGTCGTTCCATACTGAAATAACACCCGAATAACGCCATTGTTGTTATCTCTAGAACTTTGGTTACGATGTTATTGTACCTACCGTTCCTACAAACTGTACTATTCGCGCTTGTTTACCATAATTACATTATTGAAGCGAAGTTTCTCCCCAGGTAGCCACCAGTGAGTTCCACAGGTTGGGTGCCGTTGTGATTTTTCTGCGCTTTTACCATTCTGTTTAAAGAAGTTCAGCTGTTATTGCATATCTTCTCAAATTTAGTCATAAACTGCTATGAAGTCGTTCTGTAAGATTTCAAATTGTAGGGTGCTACCCTAGTAGGGGGGGGGGCACCGTCCAAGAGACCATGCCGCGCTGACATTGATCGTCTGCCTCGATGCGGATGAGACCTTTAGGAGAGCGGATTATTGTCTTGATGAGAGGACAGAGACAGCGCGGCTACGTGCTGCCTCCCAGCTAAAATAGCTTCAATTTTTGTCATACCTTGGAAGTCGTAATTTCGGCGCTAACGTAATTGGGGCGGCACCTCGTTATTCCTTTCCCTAATTAATAGTTAGGCTTAGCGAAGACTGTGCCTCCTATGCGGGGCTATCCGTCGGCGATTTTGGCGCTCTACGCGATTTTCAGGGTGAAAGTAGAATCGCGATCAAGTGATCCTGCCCCCCCCCCTGCTGTGTTAGCGTCGTAATTTTTTTGAAATTAATTCTGTAAACGAGGTGTTTTTCCATATCGTAAAATTCTTCATGTAGCTTGTTTTTCGATTCATTCGCATTCCATTTTTATTGTCAAAGTCGCCTTCATGCTTTAACTTCCGGCGCTCAAGTAGTTGAGGGGCAGTCGATGAGATTTGTCCGTGATGAATATAAACAACCCTTTCTGCTCGTCTGCGTTCTCTATGGCCACTTGGCAAACACTATCTCGTTGAGAGGACGCAGACAGGCAGAAAAGGATGACTCGGTCTTGCTGGTGACGGGCTCCCTCAGCTAAATTAGTGCCTAATAGTCTACCCTTTTGCTATTTCTCTGTCCAGTTTGTTCTCTGCTGCCAGTGGCGGCGGGATACTATCCCGTTGGATTAAATTTTGTTCTTTGTTAGAGAAATAGCTGTGAAATAGTATGTTTTTCATGTGTTCATTCTACTGCATTGATTTTTATGTCGGCAGCATAGGTTTTTGAATGTCATCACAAATTTCCGCGCTACCGTAGTTCGGGAGTGGGAGCACTGGGCAACGTCCCTTGGCTCTCCAAGGCTTTGGCATGCACTGCGAGACCCCGCAATGACGTGGTCGCCCGCAGCACAACGCTGGCGACCACGTCATTGCGGGGTCTCGCAGAACGACGCGGTCCTACAGCTGCATGCCTTCCCCAACCCCCCCCCCCAAGCTGCGTTAGCGCCTAGGTTCCCAATTTGAGCATCCTATTTCCGCACTTAATTCTTCTCCAATGTTTCGGTATCTAGGCAAGATCTCTGATGTCCTTATGTCTGAGTGAGAGCCGAAATTGCTGTATATTAGTCGTTATGAGGTGATCATTGTGGTAATCGTTTTTTTCTGTTTCCTTTTTCTCTTTTTGGTTTGTGATAAATTACTCTTCAGTTCGTGTTGGTGCTAGAAGTGAGTTTTTTGAATCAGTAAAAGTTTTCCTTTCTACGTGTAGTCGACGTGAACGGGTGAACACAAAAGCCGCGTCCATACTTCGTAGAACATTCGAGTTTGCTCAAATTGTAGAAAATTCATTGCAGGGTCGGCGACCAAGAAAAGCATACGTATCGATCTGTAGGATCCGTGATTCAGAAGAACCGTCATAAGGGTTTGGATGTTGGTCGACTCCGCCCATCTGTGAGTCGCGAATATCCGAAAACGCAAGTTGACAAAGTCAGTTGAGTCAGCCGTCATGGTGACACTCCCACACACTATCTGCTCGAAAAACTCAGAACTCAGAGCAGCTTCAACGCCTGGGACAGTAGGTCAAAATGGGCGTTGCTGCCATGCTCGCTCGTTGAATCTGCCTTCGTAAAACAGGTTTAAGGCTAACATGGCCGCACTAACGCATGAGATCTCCTCCCATTTTGACCTTCTCCCGGGCGTTGAAGCTGCTCTGATGTTCTGAGTTTCTGAATGGTCTCCCGTCGCATTTTACTGGACTTAAACTGTGGCACGTTCTCGTCAAATCATGTGGGTGTTGGTGTGGACGCGACGGTACCGCTACGCGGCCTCGGTTGCCCTGGCCCATCATACGCCCAACGTTTGCTGTACGGTGGGGTAGACCCGTGAGAAGAAATCCAAGTGGCTTCTTGGAAAACTGGTAGCCCGGTGGTTGCAGCTACTGTCGGAGAGGGAGCGTCCAGGTATGCGTAGCCCCTTTGTGATGTGTGAGTCCAGGAGATCCACGGAATTAGCTAGCACTAGCAACGCAGAAATTAGCTAACATGTCCTTGCTAGCTGACTCGATATTTGCGCGCTAAATGATCAACTACATCCTGGTGCGAGTGCCGCGAAACCGATGGAGCTCTCATCGCAAATCTGCCGCTCGCGCCGCGTTTTCTGTCACTGAGCGTTTTTCAGTGTTTTTTTTTTTCGTTTTTACCGAATAGTTACACGTTCTACTACTATTTATCCGGCGCAGTTCAGCGACGGAAGATGGCATTTTACACTTTCGCTGCTTCCCATCGTCGTGCTTACTGCTCTACAATAGTTGGCGAGTAGTTTTCGCAAGTTTTAGCTGGTATCACTGCGACGTTTCACAAGAATTCACAGGTCTCCACTGGATTTCGACAGGAAGGAGCGAAAGTGCAAAATGCCCCCCCCCCCTCATTGTCGCAGAACATCCCCGTTTATGTTACCTGTTGCATTGCAACCAGTTACGGTTTCATGCTTTTATCCGATAATTATACTATCTGCAGTACACATCTCATATACAGTAGAGGCAGCTTCATTGTTGACTTTCATTAGATTATAATACATTCTAATAAAATTAAACAAGATCTGATATCGATTTCATAATCGTGTTTCTTCGCTTCCTTCATTAGCTTCAGTCTGCTTTCGGTGCTCCACGGTTGGTGGATGCTAAAAGGGAAATCGGAAAAGTCAGTAGTAAGAAGAGTCGGCGAGCAGGAGTCATGGTCGAGGTCACCGCGCGGAAAACTAGGTCTCCGCGCGCGGCGGATACCGGTTTCTAAGAGCTCGCTGTGCGCGGAGGCTTAGTCCTAGGGTGGCGACCTATATGGGTAGCTCAGTGAGGAACGCGTGAAATGTCATTCAAAACCAATTCGAAAAAAATGCTTACCTTCAACAGGTAGTAAACAAACGAAAAGTATCCTGACGTGACGAATCCATAGGATATCAGGATGCATATGCCAAATGTGGATGGATCAGGTAGAATAATTACCAGTACGTCCTGGAAGCAGGAGGTAAGTCAAAGAATGCTACATAGAGGATGAGCCGTCCTGCAAATCCACGCCCTGGGACATATCAGATTACAGGTTCATGACTCCTGTATCTGAATGTGTGTAGCGGTTTTTGAATACAAAAGAGTTTAGGCTATACATATTTATTATAATAACATCAAAGTAAAGGGGAAGGGAACTTGGACGGGGTGGAGGACGGTCGGGGGTGGACCGTCACATCGTGAGTACTCACTACCACTGTCTCTACTCTCGTCCTCCAGTTGCCTTGCGCCAGCTTCCTGCGATACCGTAATCTCGGGCCACGCCCATCCAGGTGGACCCGCCATGCATCCGATTTCCATTCCGGATCGCCGTCAGAAAGTCGTGATAATGCAACGATCAGTGGCTTACCTTGAGTACTGAGAATGTTTGGCATAGCGCATTATGTACACCAAAAACGGTGTTCCGATCGGTTTCTGGTACATTTTCCTGCATGATGTGAATAATCGAGAGATCAGCCATCCAGAGCCCTGAATTAGCATCCTATATCAGTGTATTTGATCACGTATTGTCAGAAAGGGTGAAGCCTCATGATTGTTTTAGAGTTTCTTCAAATCTCGTGTTTCATGGCGTTGTACCCATTTGGGGAAGTTTCAACGAAATGTCCTTATGCGACTGTTTAGGGCACATTCGGGATGTTTAAAGGAAGAACCCGCGATTACTCGCCATCTCAGATGGTGGATTAGGGGGTTCCATATAGACGACAAGGGGTTGAGTAACTCGACTGTGAACAAAAAAAGCACAAAAAACATGCCACCTGCCCTAGATAGAACCCCATTTCGATCCCAGTTTGTACGTGCCCAATCAACTCTATCTCCAAAACTACGCCCTCATATGCACGGCTGATTCACCGATAAGATTTCTACGATCGTACAAGTGGCGATTATCATGCTTTTTCGTCCTGCAATCTCATTTTTCACTGGAAGTCGGTCATTAGGGGCGGAGTCTGGAGGCGGAGTCACTGGAAAAAAGGAGCCACTGAACCTATATTGCGCTACAGCGCCCCTCCCATAGAATTTTTTGCCGCGAAACCGGTACAAGGTTGTTCGTCGCGGACCACTCTAACCTCCTGACGCCATATTTTCAACTTCGATACCTGATCGCGGACCGTGCCTTTAAATAGTGTCCTCACACTACAAATTAGCCCGGTTCGGAAGCCCAGGAACTCCGCAGTCCTGTGCGCTGCGGAGGATGGGACGTGTCAAAGGGGATGGTTTGTCGCAGGGTCAGCCCCTTTTTTCTTTTTTTTTTCTTTCAGCAAGCCAAGGCTGTATCATGTCGTTCGTATCGGTCGTTTACCACCAATCGTTATCACTTACTGGCTTCATGGAGCACGGGTTTCAGCTTGACAGCTCATCAGACCCATCCTCACACTCGTGAATTAGGTGCTTGTTAAAGGGAGTCCTTCCGTTCAATAATCCCTCGTTTCTGGTCCCTCGCCCACGTTATCGGTGTCTCGTCGCCTCTCGCTTTTTCCAAGCTTGTCCAGTTTTGCAAATTAGTTTTAGCTGCAGAAATGAGAGATTCTTCGACAGTATGAGTGTTTTTTCTCCAGTGGCAAACCATTCAACTCCTACAAAATCACTTGAATCCTTACCTATATCGCTTAACAACCGAATCGACGGGGCGTGTTACATGGATTTTGGAGCGGTGCCAGCTCACTTCCCACCTGTCATGGCCCAGCCTCTCTGGTGCGACTTTTGAAAACGAGCTGCCGCCGCGCCAAAATCCACGTCACACCAGTCGAATCGGATTGATGATGTCGTTGAAGACGAAACGAGCGTTCTTCAAAAGCAGTAGTAATTGAAAATTACCAAATCGTGCTGTGGCGATTCCGCTGAGGAACGTAATGATGCTGTCTAGACTCTGCCCATTGCCAATGGCGTCTTCCAGCCTCTGAAAATCTGTTTCAAGTCGAATTTTAGTTAGAACCTCTCAAAGGTCCTGCAAGAAACCTGTCGTACCTGTGTGGTTTGACCGTGAAAGTAACCCTTCGGATCAAACGGTGAACCAGGCAGCCATATTGAGGCAACGGCCGCAATGAGGCAAATTTGCTGGCACTAGAATGAAATCATTAAAAAAGTTTGGCTTCCCTAGTAATTCAGTGAAATGCGGCGGAAGGCCCTGCTGCCCCTTGGATGTGCCACGCATTCGGCTTGCATTCGAGATGGCAGAGACAGTGGGAGTCCTTATGAGGCTTCTGCAACTACTGATAGTGTGCACACAGGTTTCAGCCCAGTGTTTGCTACCGAATGCCCCTTACAAAATCCCCTTCTCTGAATAATGTAAGTGTAGTTGATGTGGAACAGTCAATCCTACACGTATGTTCAGTTGGTATCGTCACAGTCACTCGGGGTGGTGTCGGGAAGCGAGAAGTGTGGAGCCCGCCTCTTGCTGCATTTCCTACCAAGTAATGATCGATGTAGGAAGAAAAGAATCAGCGATAGAAAACGCTGTGGATGGGTTCATTCAATGCCTCCTCACACCGCCCTGGCCAATCGCGCTTCATGACCACCTGATAGATGGCATCTTTCCTGCTTGTAAGGCGGGCAGATTCATCCGCACTGAAGATGCACCACTTTCGCAACTCGAAAGTGCGCGGCAAGCATGAAATGACTGCTGTTTTAAGTCCCCGCTCTCAGCCCAATCGTACAATCTCCACAGGCGTTGTGGTGCTATGGCTCTTCTGTATTCTCTCACACTCCGCCTTGCTTGGTTAGATCTTCGCCGCGAGCTCAGACGTTGCAAATAAACT